TGATCGTTCAAGGAACAACCAGAAGGGAAGTGTCCCCGTGATTGTCCCAGTGGGACAAGCAGAAGCTTGCGTAACCGAGAACTTGGATTAGGGGTACAGAAATCGGGAGGCTGACAAGTCGCGGGTCGCTTGTAAAATGCGAAAACAAGACGGTGACCCCACAATTCCACTTTTTTGATTCGAGATGTGTTGTAAATTCTGGTTTGACCCTCCCAAGTATCAATTTCTTTCGGTTTTACTTGCTTGTTCATTTATTTATTTATTTATCGTCTTATCAAATGAAAGTTTTCAGACAGTTATTATTTATTTTAACGACTTTAGTTTAGTTATTACAGCTTAATTATGTCTAGAATATTTTATGAAATAATGTACATTTGAATTTGCCGCGAGTTCTAAACAGTATGGCGAAAGACCGCTTTACTTATGACAATATACTATATTGTATACTATAATATAATATAGTATATAAAAAGTAGCTGTGAGTCTAGTTCTCATTATTTAGATTAATTCCAGAGTTACTTCTAAGCTTAAAATATTGTTGAAATATTTATCGAAAAGAAATAAAGTTTCTTGAATAGAAACATGCAATGCGCATGCGCCGTATGCATCACGCGCATGCGCATTACAAATCTCTACTTACATTCTTCAAGGAAAAATTTTTCCTCAATGAATATTTTAACTTTAACAATGATTGCAACTTAAACAGAATAGAACTACATGAATTTATACATTCACAGTTCTATTTTATTAATAGAACTACTTATTCTTCTTTTATAAACTGCATTTTTTTAGAGAAATGTAACTACATACAGCTATATCTTTTTTGAACTTCTTCGTCCTTATTACAATTGCTACTTCGTAAAATAGTGTTAGGCATCTAACATTTTGAGTTCACTCTGTTCTACTTCCTTTTATCGTATTTTATTTTATACGACGATTATTATAAAGTATTTTGTGTCATTTTTAGTAAGATTTTTGTCAGAATTCAAAAGAAGCTACCGCCAACACAAGACTATCGTTTTACAGCCGTTAACCGCTATAGCTGCCTAATAAAAATCCTATCTTGTTTTCAACCCTTTCTTCTGGCTAAATGACGCGTTTAATTGCGAGTTTTTTGTCCCTCGCGTCGCGACGCTCTTCATTAATCGCTCGGGAACACTTTGCTCGAATAGGTTGAACCATCTTCTTTGATGGCTTTTTGTGGGGGTTGTTTGATCGTTAAGGAGTCTTTTATTGAAGATTCGAGGTGTTTAACCTCCTGATCGTTGAATCACGGTCAAGATAATTTGTTTAGTCCGTAAAGAAAATGGATAATCCTATCAAGTGTCGCTCTTAACCCTCCACGAACTCGTGTAACACTCGTCTAAACTTTGCACGATTATGGAAGATCCGAAAAACAATTATGCTACACCATTTTGAAATAAGAGAAAAATTTCAATTCTTGACTTAATACATAAGTATTAACCATTCAGTACAATGCTGCAGTTATTCAATTCTTAATATTTAATTAATTTGTTTCGGTAGTTTATACATACATAATAAAATACTTTATGCAAATTAATATAGAAGCATAATGAGTTAAAGGTATTCAGTTTCATACGTGTCAAGGTATTTGTTAAGGATCGTCCAAGGCTCGAGTTCGATTACAATTAATGTTTTATTCATTTCGTTACTTAGCTCCTCGTAAAATCGTGCTTCCTCGAAACTTCAATAGATTCTATACCGAACGCAAATCAACGAAAACTTCTATTCTTGAATAAAGAAGACTGTTACGTTCTTGAAAAATTATTACAATGTTTCGCAACAAAAAGATTTATCCTTCCAATTGCAGAAATAAGGAAATTCTCTTTGTTCCATTTATAGAAATAAGAAAATTTAATTTTATGTTACTCAGTAGCAAGAAACAATCATGTATGGCTGTTTTTGAAATCATTCATGTCGCTGATTTTTATTCTCAATTTTACATAATCTGGGATAAAAATTAGTATGATAGATTCAACTCAAAATAAATAAAATTGAAAATTAATACATAAATTTTGACAGGTGAAGCACTTTAACATCTCAAGTAAATTTTATCTAGTTAACAGAATTTAATTTCAGAAATCCCTTATTAGGTAGTCACTCCCTTACAGTCATTCGACTTTAACGACAATTTGAAATAGGTATTTTTTAACTACATCTGCAGTGACAAACACTGAAAAATAGTCAATAATGACAGTTAATAATAAAGAAATAATAACTTCGCAAGAGTTTCTCTTTTCTCACTAAAAAGTTATTGACAGGGTATCATCCACAAGTAAAACCTTTAGTCACTTTTTTCGAAAGTGACTATGAATACATACATCAAACATAATAAATACTCAAACATGGCAATTGTCCCTATCACAAATTTTACAAATCCAGAAAGATAAAATTATATAATTCGTCAACGTCAACCACACCGAAATAAAAATTTGGTTTGACGTATATACTCGTCGAACGCAGTAAAAGCAATAAACTTGTACAATGAAAGAAACGGAGAAAAGAAATAAAAGATACGTAAGAAGTTAATTTGTCCATTCGAACGACAATTGCAGGCTGTTTAAAAGGGAAATGTATTTACACCCCCTCGCATCCCCCGGGAGCGTTGTAGACGCGAAATCGTGACGATTGAATATCTCGATTGTAGAGGTCGATGCGTCGGGACGCGGTGACCGATTCCCTGGTTAACAAAAGGTTAATGACCGTGACGAGTAGAGGGAGAACGGGTTTCGAATAATGCGGATTACGCTCCCATTGGTCAGCGTTTAAATGTTTAAATGCAAAACCGGAATCGAGGGGCCGTCCACGGGGCGTGGTTAAATGTTACGTCGACATTCACCCAGATACATTCGCTGGCATGTCAGCAAACATAGGCATGATAGCGTTTGAATAATGTATGTACGCTTAAGCGGGTGGCCGCTTTTGACGCGCGTTTGCTCTGCGCTCGTATACGCGCCACGCCTATCCTTCGACCTGTCGATACTTCATTCAAAACGATTTCATTTCCTTTTTTAATTTAATAATCCGATATTACATTTTTTCTGTGATACGGGATTGAGAGGGTGGTTATTTTTTGGGGTAGTTGTGAATCGGGGTTGAATATTTGTGGGTTTAAAAATATTCAATTTGATAAATTATTGTAGATTATTAAATTTCTTTTCTTGGCTCTAAAATTGTTATATTATCAAATTTCCAAATGCCTAATACCCAAATTTTTAAATAGGTAAATTCTCTAATCAATTTTTGAAATAATAAAACTTTTAGAACTTCACATTTTCAAATGTTAGAATGTCGAGTTTTCCAAATTTTTAAGTACTCAAACTCTCAAATTTCTAAACCTCCAAGTACCCAAACTTTTGATTTCCAAATAGCAAAATTCTTAGATCTTCAAATCTTCAAATTCACAAGATTTTGAACCTCCAAATACTCAAAATCTCAAATTTTCAAGTTCTCAAATTCCCAAATTCTCAAATCCCCAAATTTCTGAATACCCAAACTCTCAAGTTTCCCAAATTTCCAAACGCCTAAATTCTAAAGTTTCCGAATCCCCAAACTTCTCAAATCACTCAAATGTCCCAAATTTCCTCACCACTGAATTTTTCAAATTTCCCCAAATTTCAAAATTCTAAAACCTCCAAATTCCTAAATTCTCAAAGCCCCAAATTTCAAAATATCCATACGTCAAAACACAAAATTCAGCCAACGTAGATAATATCAGTTAAGGAAAGGAAATCTCAAATTATCCGAAAGACTATGTAATAATCAAGTGGATTCAGGTTTCTGAAGTTATCGCAAGACCAAAATGGAACAGTCACCCTCAAGGGTGCTACGTACTCTAGGTCAATAGCTGTAACATGATTCCGGCAGAGCAGTTAATTCGTTGCTGGCATATCAAGTACGGAGAGTCCTTGCGGTAGGACTACGCGAAGCGAATATCTTAAGGATACCAACAAATATAATTGAATTTCGGATGGTAGCTAAGGAACGTTTCAATTCTGGACGCGTGAACGGTTACAACTTTCAATTTGTCGTAAACTTGTAAAACCGTCGACCGCGAATAAACATGGAAGTGTTAAGAACGTTACAGGGAATCTCGTGGTTTCCTGGAGTTCGTGAATGAATACAAAAAAGGAATAGAGTTCTAATACAATTGGGAAACGTTCTTCGATAAATAACACTTGTGCAATCAATGATGTACTTTCGATTAAACAACTGAATTAAATTACATTATTATAAACCTTCGAAATAAATATTAGGTTATCTCTAGTTAGCTACAAATTGCAAGTAGAACTTTGTTCAAAGAGTGCCTTTTTCAATAAAATGTCAATGTTACCGTTATTAATGATTTTTTGTTATAACAGTATCATTTCTATTACTGAACTATATTTAATAATTTTATTTTATAAACTTATTACGTCAATTGTTTATAATTCTTATACATACCATATCATACTAAACTGCTGTCGTGTTATTCGTTTCATAATTTTATTTATTCCATAAACTTATTAACAGATGTTTTGAATATATTAGTGTATTACTCTTATCTTACTATTAGTGTATACTCTGATTATTGTGACAATTGTTACACAGACATGAACGAAATAAAATAATTTTACACATAAAAGTTTCTGAATTTAAGATCATAGGCTGTCTTCATACGAAGGTCATAGCCTATCAAATTCATCTGTATCAAAAATGACCAAAAAATGTGCTTTTTATAAAAAAGGCAAATGTTCGAAATAATCTCTTAACGCAGTTTGAAGAGGTTAAATAACTTCTACAAAATGATTACAAGTACCACAGAAATGATAGATAGCCTGAGACCGTACGCCCTGTATCTCGTAACGAAGCTCATCGAAATTCTTAGATCGAGAAACGCTAAAAATCGTTTGAACGCGATCGAGACACGCGACAATTAGATTTATCCGAACCACGAGATTCTTGCTTGTCTAACCTTGCCTGGTTCCGTTCTGTTACAGTATCCTCGAGTTACGCAAGGAGAAAAGCAGAGACGCTGCCAGGTCTCGAAGGGGGAAAGAGAACTTCGAGTTCTACGAGTTAGCGAAAATGCTGCCATTACCGGCGGCTATTACCTCCCAGTTGGACAAAGCCTCTATAATAAGGCTAACCATCTCGTACCTCAAACTTCGAGAATTCTCGGGTCACGGAGACCCGCCATGGAATCGGGATGGGCCACCGCCAAATAAATCTGGCAAAGGTAAGATCGTTATTAACCCATTGAGACCCGTGAAAATGGCCATGTGCTTTCGTATCGAACAAGATTAGCACTTTTTATGAATTTTGAAAACTATCGAGAATTTTCAATTTTATCAAAATTGTCTTCACTTTTATTCTGATAATTTTAGATTTTATTTACGGAGAAATTTTTGTAGGAATTTGAACATTAAGTAGACTGACAGGTTGTTCTGGATTTTCGCGCATTTTAAAGGGAATTAAATAAACATGTACGTAAAGTTTTAAAGCGTAGTTTTATTAAATCATTAAATAACTACTGAATGAATACGAAGAATTTTTATATTTTTTCTGAATGTGAATGTTGCTTTAATGTAGAAGCAACACAGATGATCGAATCTGTGTTTATTAGAAAGTATCTGCTGTTGATATCTGTTGATGGATCAGTATTTAACCCTGATGGGGGTTGGTTCGTATTGCTGAAGATCGACGACCATGCAAGAAAGGACGTATCCTTTGAAATGGAATCATTGAAGCAGATGAAATTCAATACGGAACGAAATTGTGACGGCGGGACATAAAAATGTTTGGATAAAACTGATACGTTGATTATTGGTATCTTTCAATGAAATTTGAAGAATACAGGAAATTTGAAAGTTTGACGACTTTGAAATTTAGAGATTCGGGAATTTAGAAATTTGACAAGTTTAAAAGTATACATAACATTTAAAGATTTCAACCCTTCAGCGTTTCAGAACTCGAAACTTAAAAGTTTAAGAATCTAACAAAAAAAAATACCGAAACTGAAAATATTCCTCAAAAACTCCAAATCCTCTCTCACAGACTAACAACTTTAAACGCACCTAATCGAAAAATCAGGAAGACAAACAATCACAAACGTAGAAACCATTCTCTTGAACGTTATCGTCTTAATAGAAGAAACAAAAAGGACCAGACAGTGTCGCAAATTAATTGCAAGACGGAAGTACAGACCAGTATCAGTTCGTATATAAAACGTTGAGACGATGGGGTGGTAGGGGGTGAATTTCGATGAAAATTCACGACACACCGGTATCGAATTAACCGGACAAAGGTCGTCGAGCAGCGGTTCTTAAGGATTCGCGTAGGCAAGCTGGCAATAGATCGAGAGTCGCGATATCCTTTATAACTCGAGTGACCACGCAGCCAGCGTAGAGATTCGCAGATACATAGTAATAGAGAATTGTCTGCTATAATCGACCGATAGCATCGCCATTGGCTTTCTTCATTTTCGTGGTTCATTTAACGAAAATGGGAGACCAGGACCGAACCGCCTTCTCGCTTGACCAACGACACATTGAAATGCTAACGCTTTCGTTTACCCTTCTCACGAAATCATACTCGATAACGTTGGTAAAAATGATTAAAAAGTTATCGTGATTGAACTTTGCAAAATAATCTTCGGACTCTTATTTGATATTTCAGATTTTTAACAATGTTTGTTACTAAGATGTTGCGAATAGTTTTGGAGGGAGGAAGATTTTTACTGAATTGCAGTTTTAAATTTGGTTGACTGAATTATTGACATTTATGAGTATCATGAGAAGATGCCAGTATTTAAAACAATTTAGGAGTAAGATTTTTGTTGAATTTTAATTTTGAATGAACTGATTGAATTACGTTTTTGATGAAATTAAAAATTGAAGTTCTGATAATATACTGAAAGAACAAACAAAAATACTAATTAATAAACAGTAGACCCTCGTTATACTGCCACGTTGAGACTGTAAAAAGCTTACGTTAAAATTGGTAAAACAAGTTCAGAACGTTAAAAAATTACCAAATAAGAACGAAAGAGATAACAATTATTTAATCACTCTTTACTGCAAAAATTGCGTTAAAGAAATTCTCGAAGTAAAAAAAATTGTTCGAAGCATAAGCAGGGAAAATAAGGTGGGTTAGTAGAATTCACTTATTCATCGGTGCTACTTTCGGAATCATGGGGGTGGTTGGTTGAGTTAATATTTGTCGTGGTACCGAAAATAGGGTGAACAAAGATAAAGACAGAAACAAGTAGATAGAAGGAGAGAAATTCAATGCGTACGTTGTATAAAGCGGGACACGTAAAGGCTTAGGTGGCTGCACCACTACCTACATGGAAATCTAATCACGGCATCCCCTACGTGGGCCTCGCGTTACCAACCGCCAATGTAACTAAACTAACGAAATTGAGTTAGGCACCGTCCGCACATCGCTGCCGCAGCTCCTCGTCAAACTAAATCCAGTACGCCTGTTTCACCCTCGCCCGCATGTCAGTACCACAACTGGAACGAGACCTCTCGACTTAACGAAGTAAAATGCGTTAAAGATTTCCAGACACGTCGGTTGATTTATTTTCTTCCTTTTTTTCCCTGCCACCGCGCGGGTTCTGACGCTCTCGCCACGCGGCAATTGACGTTTTATTCTTCTTCTTGTTCGAGTCTTTTTTTGGTTTCTTTCTGTTTTTTCACTACTTTTTGTCGACAAAAAATGTGTAAATGTCCTGAGCTAATTCTAATGTGACATAATATAACCTAACTTGAAATGTTAGCAAACTGAACGTGTCTATTTTAAAATTTGTGACTTGATGCAACCTAACATAAAATTTAATTGAATCTGACCTAACACTAACCTCAACTAATTGAACAAATTTGATATAACCTACTCTGGCTGACATAACTTGATCTAACCTAATGTAACCAAACATGAATTAACTTAATCTAGTCTAACTTACTAAAAATTAAGTCATGTTTCAGTGGGTAGAAACTCAATTGAAGATATCTTGAATTTAGTACAGAAAACATGCCATAAATTTTAGAATAATATTATAGTCATATACTAGAATTAGTAGAATCATGTAATAAAATAAGTAGTAAGATAATAAAATAATAGTTGCAAAATAATAAAATAATAAAATTATTGAATTGTAGATTAATGAAATAATAAAATAGTAAAATTGTCGACTACTGAGATAATAAAATAGTAGAATTGTGGATTAATGAAATAAAAGAGTAGAATTGTAGAGCAATAGAATAATGAAATTGTGAAGTAGTGGAATAGTAAACAGAAAAATTGCAAACTAATACAATACTTATCAAAAAACATCACCAACTCTCTTAAAATCGTGTTAAAAATGATTTCAAAATAAATTTAGACCGGAAATAACAAATAAAGCTTCAATTAAAAAATGATCTATTGATTCGTATTCCTGATAACTACAGTTGCAATATGTCTGACTATAAATGTCCAATTTCACTGCGACTACCAACATATCAAAACCCCTTCAAAAATTTATCCAAAACCTTCGAATAACCTAACATTATACTCTTATGACGGACATCATAATATTTTGATAAATTTCTACGAAGACGTTAAACCGTGTCCGAGCACCATGACCCCAGGATATTTCCTTGGGGAATGATGGGAAAATATCTACGCTCTCGTCTCTATCAATTTAGCAAAAAGTAAACGTGATAATGCGTTATCTTTACGATCACTGTACAAACGACATGTCGATTGACTTTTGTTGTTGCACGGAACTCGTTCAGCAATCGAGAAATACACTTTCAGAGAATGGAGGTCAGAAAAGCTCTTACCGGGTTGCTGATAAGAAGAGAAAAGAGCTGAACGTGACTTAGAACGTAAACTCATAAAAATAAAAATATAGGAAACAGTAAAATTATAATAATCTAGAAAACAGCGACAAGCAACGGGTAAAAATTAATTTCTGAAATTGTACGAGCCATTTTATACTAGCCAAAAGCCATTTTATCTGGGAAATAACCTCTTGTTTGGAATGCACTCTTGTTTATTCGAATTGCTTTGCCAACTTTTACTGCACTTTAACAGAAACAACGCGTTTCGGATTAGCGAGGAAAATTATCACTTACAAATTGTTTCTAATTTCTGCTTTATTCTGCTCGGTCATTTTCACATTTAATGTTGTTTAAATGTCATTAAATCATATAAATTTTAGGTTCAAATATTTTTCATTAATACAACCAATTAGAGGATATTCATTGAGAACCTAATTCTGTAAATTTATTAACTTGATTTGAAAATGTGAGCTTTTATCAACTCCTTAATTTGTACATTTCAGAATCTGTAATTTAAAATAACTATGAATGTACCAATTCGCAAATTTGAAAATTTCTAATTTGTTAAAGTGAGCTTGACAAATTTTTGAATATCTAAATATCTAAATACGAACATTTCTAAATTCGCAAATTGTACACACAAAAATTTATAAACCAAAAAATATATAATATTGAATTCGTGTAAATTAAAAGATCTGATTTTGTAAACATCTAAAATTTTTCTGAGTAAATATCTCGTTCAAAGAGTTATACGTTTTTTTCGTACAAAAAAGCGTACGAGTAGGAGTCGATCGGTAAAAGTTTAATCGGTATTCACGAAACGAAGCGAACGTCGAGTCGTCGAAGGAAGAAACGCGATAGACAGGCGAAAGTCCGACCGGATTATTCGGGGATCCGGGTCCGAAACATCAGAATGAACTCGTTGACCGAGCTACGAAAGGTGGGGTCATCAATCCGACCAGTTAGCCCGCCACTTCGACCCGTTTTTCCGTAGGGCTTAGCAGATTAAGCGGTTCGCGTTGAGTTTGATCGACTCTTCCTAAGTCTTTCATTACGGTAGCCTCGTTGTAGGAGGGTGGGCTTATTATTAAGAAGGGTAAGGAAGACGGCCGTCTTGTTTGTTAAACGAGGGGAGAAAGAAAACGGAAAGGGGTCACCGGAGGGCACACTGTGTGACTCACATTGGTCAGAATAAACCGTAGGTAACCCTCTGATCATTGACCGTCAATCAGTTCGATCCAACAATCGTCTTTATTAACTCTTTGCCAACCTGTCAGTCCGGAATCGTCGATAGGGAGTTCTGGAATAACATTTGCCAGAAATCGTCTCGACTCTTCTTACTCCAAATTGCATTTATCCGATCCAATAGTTTTTTTGGTATGAAGGGTAATTTCAGGATAATGAAAATTCTAGTTAGGAAGGGACACATACATAGATTTTAAAGAAACATATATTAGCATATTGATCGCCACAGTGAAAGCTGATGTTTGTAGTCAAACAGAAAATTTTACCACTAATAAAAATGACCAAAATTGATTTTAACAATAACCATTTATGCTTGTGATTCTAGGTGCAAATCGAGTGAGGTCGTCAGCGTCTGCTGCGGTGGACCATTTCGATGTTCATCAAGGCACTCATATACTTCAAGTGAGTATATCACATGTACAATTTTGTTAACAAATATATTTAAAACATTCAAATGAAACAACACGCCCTTCAATTCATTCAAATAATCAATCTATTCAAAATTAACTTACATAAAGGAGAGTGCAGAGAATATGACAGTGTAGAATCATTACTTTCATAAAGTTCAATTTTCAGTAAAAATTAGAAATTGTGATGTAATGTGCAACTGGGGGGACGTACATTAATTCAACACATTAAAAATTTTGGATCAATTTATCTCGGATAATACCTCGATACATCGTTAAAAAAAGATGGAGAAACATTCTAGAAGAGCGATTGCTTCAATATTTTCTGTTTCAGTCGCTGGACGGGTTCGCGATGGCGGTCGCCGCTGATGGACGGTTCCTGTACATATCCGAGACCGTCTCAATTTACCTTGGACTCTCACAGGTGAGTGTGTAGCCGTTACTACGTTCCTTTACGTTGTAAGTGTGACTGGTTCGCGGGGATGTTGATGGAAGACGCTAGCACCGTAGCGAGGGTTGAATCTATGGTAGGGTGGTGGTTAGGTCGCGAAAGTGGAAGCTGGAAAGGAGAACGAAAGAAGAAGCTGGATAGCAGAGAAGAGATAGGGTACGGGGTAGAGAGTGTAATGAAGCGGAAGACATATAAGACACAGGCATGCACACGGAGCTGGCACGTATGCGAGCCGGAAGGGCAAAGATAGCCAGTAAGGGAACACTATCGTGGAAAAAGGACAAGTACAATGAAGAGCAAAGGAGAAGAAGAGGAAAAGAGAAAAGTTGAAGGATATGGCGGAGGTGGACGTCCCGGTATAGGAAAAGAAGAAGAAGAAGAAGAAGAAGAAGAAGTAGGAGAAACCGGTAAGGTTGGGAAAAGAGGAGGTGGATAAGGACGAGAGAGGTCAAGGGAGGAAAAGAGGAGAAGGTTGTATGAGTTGGCGGCCATACTGGCTGGCACCAAGCATGACATAGACGAGGGAAGGATGGGTGGTTGGGGGCGGCACAGTGAAAGCTGATGTTTGTAGTCAAACAGAAAATTTTACCACTAATAAAAATGACCAAAATTGATTTTAACAATAACCATTTATGCTTGTGATTCTAGGTGCAAATCGAGTGAGGTCGTCAGCGTCTGCTGCGGTGGACCATTTCGATGTTCATCAAGGCACTCATATACTTCAAGTGAGTATATCACATGTACAATTTTGTTAACAAATATATTTAAAACATTCAAATGAAACAACACGCCCTTCAATTCATTCAAATAATCAATCTATTCAAAATTAACTTACATAAAGGAGAGTGCAGAGAATATGACAGTGTAGAATCATTACTTTCATAAAGTTCAATTTTCAGTAAAAATTAGAAATTGTGATGTAATGTGCAACTGGGGGGACGTACATTAATTCAACACATTAAAAATTTTGGATCAATTTATCTCGGATAATACCTCGATACATCGTTAAAAAAAGATGGAGAAACATTCTAGAAGAGCGATTGCTTCAATATTTTCTGTTTCAGTCGCTGGACGGGTTCGCGATGGCGGTCGCCGCTGATGGACGGTTCCTGTACATATCCGAGACCGTCTCAATTTACCTTGGACTCTCACAGGTGAGTGTGTAGCCGTTACTACGTTCCTTTACGTTGTAAGTGTGACTGGTTCGCGGGGATGTTGATGGAAGACGCTAGCACCGTAGCGAGGGTTGAATCTATGGTAGGGTGGTGGTTAGGTCGCGAAAGTGGAAGCTGGAAAGGAGAACGAAAGAAGAAGCTGGATAGCAGAGAAGAGATAGGGTACGGGGTAGAGAGTGTAATGAAGCGGAAGACATATAAGACACAGGCATGCACACGGAGCTGGCACGTATGCGAGCCGGAAGGGCAAAGATAGCCAGTAAGGGAACACTATCGTGGAAAAAGGACAAGTACAATGAAGAGCAAAGGAGAAGAAGAGGAAAAGAGAAAAGTTGAAGGATATGGCGGAGGTGGACGTCCCGGTATAGGAAAAGAAGAAGAAGAAGAAGAAGAAGAAGAAGTAGGAGAAACCGGTAAGGTTGGGAAAAGAGGAGGTGGATAAGGACGAGAGAGGTCAAGGGAGGAAAAGAGGAGAAGGTTGTATGAGTTGGCGGCCATACTGGCTGGCACCAAGCATGACATAGACGAGGGAAGGATGGGTGGTTGGGGGCGGGGGTGGTCGCATGCGGCTCACGTAGCCTCTGCACGGCGGCGTGTTCGCCATTCCTAATGCTGCCGTGAAGGTAGATGGAGAAAAGGGGGAGGGGAACAGCGGGAAACCGTGGAACAGAGACGACGAATTGACGGAAAGAGAGAACGAGAGAGAGGGACGGGATAGAACGGGAGGAACAGGAGGTGTACGGGAGGTGACCGGTGTACCAGCTCGGTTCTGCGAGACTCGTGGAGCAATCAATAGGGTGTTTCGGGGATTCGGGAAACCGGCGCCGACGTTGCCACAAACATGGCTGCCGACAACCCCTGCGTTCCAGAGCTGTTCCTTCTCGACGGAAACCGGCCACTGAAAGGAAATGCATACAGACTTATGCTCGTAGATATGCTGCGGTATCATAACATGTAAACCATGTACGCTCATCAACTCATCAACGTTGGTCAGCATCGTTTAGATGCTGAGGTATCGACATGAAACATCGGCAATACACCGGACTTACGTTTACCTTGTAAAATAGTTTACTGTTAGAAAGTTGGTATGTTATTACTTGACGAATATGAAAGTAATAGAAAATATTGGGTAATTGGAGGTGTACAGTATCTTGACGGCCATGTTGAAAGTTTCATTAGGCAGTTTTATTATTTTTATGACGAACAAATGCTTGTGAGAACACTTCTGACGCTACCAAGATCATATTTGGAGGGACTAAAGTCGATTTGTTAACTTTTGAATTTTGGGAATTTAAGAAGTTGAAAATGTGAAATATATTTTACAAATCTGGGAATTTCGTAATGGGCGATTAATATTTTCCAAAATCAGAAAATGTGAAAATTTGAAAATGTAGAAAATTGTAAATGCAAAAATTTAGAGAACTGAAGAAATGAAAATTAAAAAATTGATAACTTAAGACATATCTAATATTCCAATATGAACTACAAAAATTATCCTACGTCGTATACCACACTAGACGGAGGTACCGATCCATACTTTAAGACCTCTCCCCCTCCGGTGTCTACCTGGTTACTTCAATGGTTCCAGTTGTCCAGGAACCTTCAAATACTCGTAACTCTTGACAATGAATACTTTCTTCAACGATCTCTTGAACTCTCTCTTAGCCAGCTTGATTTTTAATGGCTGTGGCAGCTTAGGTTGAATTCGTCGGTAGAGCAGGGTGGGGGTTTATTATTATTCTGTCGGGAAGTTCGATTGAAATTAAAGTTTCCACACCGATGAAATTGACTTCCGTTCGAAGCGAGAGTTTCATCGAGTCTGGGAACGGGAAACCGTGTACCCCTCTTGAGCTCTAGTAATCTACTTCACGGGATTTACATACTTTGTCTTTGAGCGAGTTCCGAGGATCCCAAGATCGAGAAACATATCTCATTTTAACTGTGTATATTCGAATAATTACATTAAACAAGAGAAAACATAGATTATGCCATCCGAGGAATTTTACTTTTATTATATCAGTATGTGTGAAAGGTTTAATTTTTGTCAGACATTGGTGCAATAATGTACATCTCAATTTATTAATTAATAATATTCATATTATTTTACACAATTTTTATATCATGATTCTTACTCTAGCGAGCTCGGTTCTTTCTGTAAAATATAGCTTAAGATTTGTTTGAGAAATCTTTACACAAAATTGATAGGAATAGATCATTTTTAAATTATTCAGGTAAATTCCTTATTTTCACCTGAAGTACACCTTTGCAATAATATTCTTCTACAGTCGAAGGAAGGAGGTGTTTTTATTACGTATAGTGGATATTTCTAAAAAATGTATACATATTTTAAACATTAATATCAAACATGATTATTAGTATACAAATGATAAAAGAATGATTATTACGTTTTTATTAGACATGTGATTATTTAAAGTATGTTTTAAATTTAAGATGGCTAATAAACTTAACTTCTGATCATTTTATTTATTAAATTTATATAATAAAGTGTGTATACATTTTATTGGAACACTCTGTGCTTTTGGAGACTCAGTTAAAATTCATACCAGCACCGTTTAGAGGAAAAAAAGGGCAAACGCAACAAAGAACTTCTTTCAATTCGCCCCCATAGGGACAAATTCAAATAACCGTACAGGCAACCACTACATGACAATTTTATCAGACTTCAGAGCCACTTTAATTTACCCGGTCTTTTAACTTAAAAGGTGTAACCAAAAATAAAAGGCATTGTATTAACTTGTATTAACCCCTGAAAATCAGACCTGCAAATGTACAAACATTGATAACTTTTCAACAAAAATTAGTTGAGTCATTTTTTAAATAAAAGGACTTCGAACGTAAAATAATATTTAACAGAAATAATGTAAAATTTCGACAATGGAAATAGTGTAGAGTTCAAAATTAAATTGTCGCTCTCTGATCCGTCATTCGATTCGAACCTAACCTAACCTACGATTAAATTATTTTAATTTAGTTTCGAATTATCATTGTAATAAAGAAACGATTCGTCAATAATTACTATACTTTGTTAAGTATTATTTATTTGACAATTATGTTGATTAGTTTATCATTTTTCGAAGTGAATGCCATAAAAATGGTAGCTGTTTCCAACGAACGAAAGAATAGCAACTTCGGTCACGTCGAAGCAGTTTTTCGTGGAAACTATCATATTAAGAGCCGCAGAGTTACCCTGCAGTCAAGTTACCTCGGGGAAAACTGTTCTCGAAGACAGTTTTTCTTCTAATTAAGTCACCTTGCCACTTGTCAAGAAAACTACGATATCTGACCACATTTATTTTCTTGCGTCAAATACTCATTTCAAAATATGATTTAAATATGGCTTTCCAAGTGGACGATTGACTCCTATATTTGATATTCAGTATCGTATCTTTCAGAGCTCTTGTACTCAAAGATTTACCAAATTAAACTGTACTTTTTCGGCTACTTTCAAACAACAGGTCTCATCTCCGTATTTATACACTTTAATTCTGATTCTGATAGAGCATGTCTCATCCTATGTAAAAATGTTTATGCATGAATCTGAAGTAAAAAATGAGAATCATTTTTTATGAATTCTGCTATAAATACGCTAACAACGTTCATGAATAAAACATAATGTTAAGATTTGGCACGTGGCTTCTCAACAGAGCTAAATGTAATGGACAACATGAAGTTTGAAGATTAATAATATACATTAAGTATATCAACGAATTTTATTCGCGTGTATGAAACATGCAATTGATTCACTGATGTGGTACACAATATGCATATGCAAGTTTTAATTCATATACATATAACAAGAACTAAAGTATATTATCCGAGAGACTTATTAAAATGAAAAATTGAAATGTTTGAATGTGTCTTTTAAAATTTCAGGTAGAAATGACGGGATCAAGCGTTTTCGATTACGTTCATCAGCAAGACCACGCGGAAGTTGCGGAACAATTAGGACTTGGACTGACTTCGAGCACCTCTTCCGGTCCGCACTCGTCGAGTTCCGGTTTAGCGTCGCCAAGTAGCGCTGCATCCGAAGAACATGGATCGTCTTCCACTGCGAATCCCGACGGTAAATATCTTATTGAAGGTCTTTTAAATTATTCATGGATCAATTTGTTGCATATCAAATAAGAGATTTTGTATTCACACGAATCTAAATTATCAAATTTCTATGTTCAATGATTTTCAAACACTCAAATTTTGAAATTATGGATTTCCCAAGTTTACAAATTTACGAGTTGCGAAATTTTGAAGTTATCGAATTTCTAAATTTATAAATTTTTAGTAAATCTCCTAATTTTCGAAAGATTACATTTTTGAGCTTTTAAATTCTCAAATTTACATATTCTTTACAAACTTTCGAATTCACAAATTTTTAAGATTTCATATTTCCAAGTGCCCAAATCCTCGAAAACCTAAACTTTTTTAAACTTTCGAATTTCTAAACTTATAAATTTCTAAATCTCCCAATTTTCAAGTTTCAAATTTCCAAATCTATAGTTTTCCAAATCCTTAGATTTCTAAATTTCCAAAACACAAAATTTATATAATTCTTTTAATCGCAGTGTCCTCCGTAATGTCGCTGTCAGCGACTGGTCTTTACAAAGGATACGACAGAGCGTTTTGTGTCCGAATGAAGTCGACCTTAACGAAAAGGGGGTGCCATTTTAAGTCTTCTGGTTATAGGGTACGTTTATCACCTTATTTTATCAATTATCATTCATATACTTACCATATCATATGCCAGAAATACTTAAATTTCCATTAAATAAAAAATCCGTCCACCAAATTATGAGAAATTCTTTAAACTAACTGAAGATATTATTAAAACTATAGATCATAGAAGTAACGAAATATTGTGAAAATTTATACACATAATAAAATTTTAATGAAGCTTTAATATAACAGTGACGGTGTTAAATTATCGTATTCACTTAAACGTGTTAGTGAATTAATGTAGTAAAAATTAGCAAACAATGATGTAACAAATCTTCAAATCCACGAGCAAGAATATAACGTGTTTTAATTCTTAATTGAATTGCATAAGTTCTAGCGATTCGTGAATCGATCGCGTTCGATTGACAAAAAAGCCAGGTGTTAATTAAGTATTATAAATTCAGGTGGTGTTACTGCTGTGCCGTTTGAGACCACAGTATACGTTTAGCCATACAAGAAAGTCAGCACCACCATTGATAGGCATGGTTGGCTTGGCGATCGCGCTTCCTCCACCGAGTGTGCACGAAATTCGCCTGGAAACCGACATGTTCGTCACACGAATTAACTTTGACTTTCGGATAGCACACTGTGAACCAAGGTAAGCACTTCATTAATTATACCAAACAATTTCAATTTATACGAGATAAAAAGTACAATGGGTTATTCGTTTAAAGAACAAAAGAAACATTAAACAATTTTTTAAATATAGAACAATTTTATATTTATTTAATAAACTACAATTTTATACTGTAAAGTGAATGCTAGATCTAATAATAAGTGCATAGATGTGCAATTACTGGATCAAGTATTATATAAACATATTGTATCTTGTACCTCAATTCCGAGCAAAGAAAATATTCGTCGATCTTTATAAATATGACTAAAGTTAAAAACTCCAATCACTTGATATAAATTATACTAATGAGTACAAGTAGTATACAAAATTATATTTTTGTATGATTTTACAGGGTATCCGAATTGTTAGACTATACAGCCGACGAATTAACGGGGAAAAATCTTTATACGCTGTGCCATGGAGAAGACGCGAATCGTCTTCGGAAATCCCACATCGACCGTAAATATTTCTACACGTTCTTCAAGCTTCTATCGCGACCTATGATTCACTGTTTTCATCATGGAAACGATTTCATTTGTTGCAGTGATTCACAAGGGACAAGTATTGACGCATTATTATAGGCTGATGAACAAAAGCGGAGGATACACGTGGTTGCAAACATGCGCCACCGTGGTGTGCAACTCAAAAAACGCCGAGGAGCAGAACATCATTTGTGTCAATTATGTCATTAGGTAAATTAAACATTTCTTTTTATCAAATGTTACTAACAAACGGAGATATTAACTATTATTTATTGTTTGTCAGTGGGCGGGAATATGAGAACTTGATCATGGACTGTTGTCAACTGGAAGAAGGTGTTATGGGTGTTAAACGCGAAGACGCTGTCGGAAATGATCCAGAAAATGGATCACCGGATGCTGATGGAGGAGGTATACTACCGATCTAATACTTATGTAGGGTGTCACAAAGTTAAACGAAATTCTGCAATATATTCTATACGTTCATAGGTGATTATGAAATAGTTCAAGGTAATAGAGAATTTACTGTTGATGCTATTTAGAAAGATTTGGAAATATGAATATTTAGGAACTTGGAAGCTTAAGAATACAGAAATTAAACACTTTTGATATTTAATAATTTAGTAATTCGGAAATGTAAAAATGTAGGAATATGATTAAAAATGAAGCTTTTCGCGATAAAATATTTGCGGACTATATATCATTTTCTTTTCATTTCTGCTTATAGAACATATCGATAACGTTTAGAATCGCTTAACTCTGGTACCTCCTACAAGATAAAAGACTTTCTTCCTTTATTTAATAATCTCCTTTCCATTACAGAGGGTAGAAACCACGGCGGACCACCGAATCAGCATCAAGAACATCCTCACAGGTCACCTCCCGAAGATCGCGAGGAAACTCGCGGCTCGGAGAGCGAGAAGAGGAGCAGCAGACACCACGACAACATAGCTCAGTTACAACAAGAGCCCCAAACAGCCGTAGGAAATATAAACACGCTCGTAGTGAAATTGCGCGGGCACAAACGGAAGATACACGAGGAGGATAGCAGCTCGAACGAAGAGGAGGACGAAGAGGACGCAACGGTGAAAGTCACGAATAACGAGAGAAGCCACGCTCTAAGTCCAGCTCCATCAAACCATTCCATTTCAGGCGGTGAGCAAGTATTGTGTTCAGCCAGCCCGAAATCGAGACGCGTGGAAGATCGACCGAGCAACGCCGACAGTGCCGGTACCTCCGTGAAAGATTTGGAACAGGCGATGTCCAAGCATCTGCCTGTGTCAAACCTGAACAAATCTCACTCGCCGACGCTTCATCAGCCGACGGATTTCAGTACAGACGCGTTGTTGAAACAGCAACAGCAACGAAGTACGATACAGTGGATCGGGGCGCATCATCATCTGGGACACCTGAGTCCTCAGCAGTCGGCTACTGCTCCGTTGCCCGCTACCGCCCTTCTTCGTCAACTTTACGCGAACAGGGAGAGCGTGATACGAGCTAACGTTCACGGGATCACATCTAGCGGTAGCACGCGTACGCCTTCTTCGGGTGGCACTTATTACGCCGGTGACACGACACCGAGCGGACCTCTGCCCACACCTCCAGGGTCAGAAGGGTCCAGCACCTACGGCGAACACCAATTCGTGTTAGCCACTCATAACCAGAAAGGTTCCACCGGTACCAGCTGCGCGGACGCGTTCACCAGCCTGGTCTCCTCTTATTCCACTGCCGGCGGTTACACGGTCGATTACCACTCGGCGATGACCCCACCGTCGTCCGTCTCGCCGAGGGACAAGCAGCAACAACAGCAACAACAACAGCTTCACCCGGTGAATGTGATAAGTAGCTACGAAAGCTCGTCGGCTTACACCGATCCGGTGCTGCGACATCAATACGAGCCAGCTCAACCGTTGCCTTTGAAGCCGCAAGTGTATTCGGCCGCGGTTCATCCGAGCGCGTTGGACGCCGCCGCGGCGTACGCGTCCGCGGGTTTGAGCGAACAGGCGCAGTTTTATCATCATCCAGCTGCTGGAGCTGGCTTCCATATCTACCATCCGACCAATAAATCGACGACGAACGGCTGGTACGGATCGACGTCCTAGTGGCGTGGTCCTGTACGCGAGAGACGTGTACTTAAGTAACTCGAAGTTTCAGCCCAAAGTCCCCTAAATGCATATCAGTGATATCGTATTCACCTCGACATCTCTGTACGCCGATTTCCCATTTCCACTCTCTACTTTCATCCACCGTGTTATATTTTTTCTCTTCGTTTTGTTTAGTTCATCTTTGTTACGCGTTCATTTATCTGTACCGGTGCTATCACTACCCTACCCCTTTCCCTAGGGTTTCTTGAGACCCGTCGTTTACCCTTGTCATTGAAACCCAACGATCGTACGTGCGCATACGATGTGCCAACTGAACTGTAAAAATATCGCTGCTCTCTATTCTCGACTATGTAGAACGACTTATTGTAATATAACAAAATAAATTATTATGTATGTTGACAATTTTGGAGAGGACATTCGCGCAAGCATGGAGAGTAGGAGTTTAAGGGTAAAAGGAAAACGAGGATGGAACAGGAGGACAGAGCGCAGAGTATGTTTGATGGAACGCAGTGATGGGCAAACGAATACCCGTGGAACTTTCACGTGTACTCGTGGACACTGTTGATACACAATTTCATTATTCGAAAACTGGAAAATTTCTCGAATTGAAAATTTCAAATTTCTGTATTCTCAAGTTTCTAAATTCCTTTACTTCCAACTTTCCAAATTTTTTAATTTCTATTTGACTTTTTAATTTGAAATTCTTTTATATGAAATTTCTGTATTTCAAAGTTTCTACATTCTCAAGCTTCTATATTACCAAAATTCTAAATTAGAAAATTTGGTAATATAATAAATGATAAATTAGTAATAAATTGATAAATTGAAAAATTTGGAAATCCTGTATTCCTGAACTTGAAACCGCGGGCACTTGATCTACTCATCACTGTTGCGACGCTCAAGGGGCGAACGGTGATACGAGGAAAAATGACTAATTATAATTAGCCGATTGTAATCGCGTGACATTAAAATGCACGCGAGAGAGAAGTAATGTAAACGAACAAAAAAGATTTGCCAGCGTAACCGCTGAGCCCAGGCGTGGTTGTTAGCGATAATTACTCGAGAAAAGCCGTACTTGTCGTAATTTTTTATACTGTAACATTTTGTTGCGTAAATACGATGACTTTAGTGAAGTCAACAGTGCAATCGTTACAAGTTCTTAGCGTTAATTTAAGAGGATCGGATAGAGATAAAGTTTACCTTTGCTTATAACGTGAAAGAGACGTTTCTGTACGACAGAGAGGGAGAGAGAGATAGAGAGAAAGAGAGAGAAAGAAAGAGAGCGCGAAAGAGAGAGAGAATGTATGAGTATGTAACATTATCGAAGGAAATCGCTATCTCTATTAATGTAGAGCACGTTGTTCAAACAATTAATTTATTAGCAGCTTATCAATTCAATTTATTATTGCTTGAATCGTATTATCGTTTTCTATCCATAGAATTTATCAGTATTCATTTATCGTCGATATTAATACATATCAAATTATCTGATAACGATAAATCACTGCCTTACCAGTTTAAAAGTTTGCCTGAAACAAAGTAAAGTATTCACAAAAGTAAGCTTCGAAGGTTTTAAACAAGTAAGCAACACGTATTTAAAATGTTATCAGAACAATATATTGCTAGAGGTAGCGAATTCTTTCAGAGAGATTATTATGTTTTGTTGTAAATGAATTGTTTTTTGACGAGTACACGTGTAAATACAATTTTATGTGCTGTAATATTTACCTGTTGAATATTTCTATTCATCATTTTTCTGAAATTTCTATGAAATTTATTTTCGTTGAAGGAGCATTGTAAGGCAGTGACTTAAACACTAAAATATATACACAACATCTCCCTCTTGATAAAAGAAAACCTTGTAATTCAGTACAGTTCACCCTCAAATGTTTGACAGAATTATATCCCATACAAAAATTTGCCATCATACCACAATTGCATAATATTATTTAGAAAAGATATAACTATCTGTAAATGAATTTGTTGTATTATCAATTACTGTAACATTTATATAGACAAATTTGTTTCTTTTCTGAATTTAAGAGTCTCATATACAAAATATTGAATAATACTGTTTATATTTCAGTTTACAATTTATAAAATACTTTCAAATTTTTCCAGTAGTATTATCGTTATCTTATTTATCTATTATAATTTAAGTATACCCGCTTGGAACAGTATCAACAAAATTCTAATAATAGAAAGAGAAGTACTTAAAATTGGATGAAAATTAGCTTTTGCCAAATGGTAATGTTTCTCGTTTATACAAAACAGAAGATGCGTGCAGGAATGCCCTACATGTACTGAAAGTACTTATACGAATCTAAAAATGGACAGATGCAGTGCATACAAAACTATGCCTTACCAAATTGTTCTTCAAAAATATATAAAGAGAAAAAAATAAGATCAGGTGTAAGGATTATAAGACTGATAATAAATTTGCTTGTTCTGTTTTATTGTTCAAGCAAATGATAGACTCAAATTAAATTGCATATATATATCTGTAGGTATTTACATTCCACTATTTCTTGTTTAAAACTTTAAAATGTAATTTAAAAATAAAAGTACAATGCACCTGAATCTTTCTAAAAGCTTTAGACTTTTATTCATCTCTTTATTTCTAATATTTTCTTGCTTTCTAAATCTATTGCATAAATAAATATCGTTTACTGATCCAAACACAGTACAATGTTTTACATATTGAAATATTTACATCAAAGAAATAATTAATTTTATTTAATCTCACATGCATTTGCATTATGTGCTAATTACAAATTTTTCACATGTTTGCTATGATCAAAATTTAAAATATTAAAAATGAAATAAGGAAGTATAACAAATCTGATAATAAGATATTATCAGTATCAGAGATTACCACTATTTTAAGAACTACTTTACAATAAAACTTTAATTACTATCCGTAATCTCTAATAACTGATAATTACACATTTCTTTTATCAGAATCAGTGATTTAAAGAATTTAGATTGATTATTATCAACATTTTAAAATTCTCAACATTTATCTTAAATATTATATTGATAATATACTGGCCATGAAAATCCTAGAATATGGACAATATACACAGATTGTTTGAAATCTCTATCATCCTAAATTACATTTTCAACAATAACAAAACAATGTATTACAGCAATATTCATACATAAATATATGAACACAAGTAATTAATGCTCATTTATATTAATTTACATAAATTTTACGCAATTTGGCATATTTAACTATTTCAAAACTGTACATTAGATGCAAAATATTTCATTTATCTGAAAGTAAAATTAATCAGAATAATTTCCATGTATTACTCAGCACTACCATGTGAGGTTAGTAATAACCTATTACGTCCCTAGTCTCTTCTCGCCAATTATCCCTATAATGAATAGTTTCAATTTTGCACTTGTAATATAAACAATTATAAAGCTATCTTTTTGAAAAAATGATAAAGTTATTAAACCTAAAAATCGTTTTAAAAAATTGTATACAAAAAATCATTTTTGTTTTGCAATAACATCACACGAAGACACACTTATACTACTCAGATTTAATTTAAATTTCTATTTCTAGCTACTAATGAAAGGCGATCATGTTTTAAAACAATCATAAACTGTTTACACAATGATTAATAATCAAGTACTAGGTTATGTTTACACTCTGATCAAACATACCATGTTGATGTCACGTAGTATAATACTCGAGTTCGATGTTCGATGATCGATATATTGGCCTTGCATGAGTAAACTCGATAGTCATTGGAGCTTACTATTTGTTATCCTTTACATCTTACAGATGCGCGCCTATATAAGAGACAAATTCGAAAGAAGACCGCTAATTTAACATTTACCGTCAGAGTGAACAGTTCGTGGACACAAACTACATCATGAATTGGCGATTCACGCTCTTCATCGCTGTTCTTGTTTTGACAGTAGAAGCGAAAAAATATCCACAATCATTTGAGGAGCATCAGTGGGAGGAATTCGAAGAGTTTTTAAAGTGGAAAAAATCAAAAGAGCTGCATGGAAATGGACCAAGAGAGAATAAGTACGAGAAACGATATTACGACGATAGTCGTGAAGTGGACCAAACGTATGAAAAGAATCAACAGAGTCCCAATAATAATCCACCACCAGTCGATCAAGCTGCTCTAATGGCAAGATACATTGTTAACCATGCTGGTAAGATAAATGTACCTTCGATAATGTCTCATTTTAATAGAACCGGGGTATTCAAATTAAGTTTCGTATTCGATCTGAATCGTTCAAAAAATTACCAGGTTACATTTTTAATAATACGATCGCTGTTTTTAAATTATAGAAATTAAGAAGCGATACATATCTAAAAATATTATTCATACATGGATGTGTGTTTAACACATATACGTCTTATCTGCTGATAATATTAGATTTACCTACAGAATTTTGGCAATTTCCCAAATTTTCGGTCGAAAATGCAACGCGTGTCGCATATTTTCACTTTAATTACCATTTTCCACACGATTTAATAAAAATTAAATTGCATTTCAAATGCTTCACTTTATTATCACTCCTGATATCCATTATATTCAAATTGAATTGTTCCGTTGTCTTGCAAGATAATAGAAGGTCATTCGTTTGAATTTTGCTTTTAAAAAATATTTATCAACTCGGAAATAATAAATATAGCGATTTGGTGAATCATTTAAGTATTTCAATTATTTATTTACGTCGTATAGCATGGTTTATGTAAACTGTTATCAATGCGTTTTCACAGATTGGGTAGCTGTTGCAACAATAAGCACGCGAAAGGATATTGAGTCATTTCCAGTAGCAAATTTAATTTCTTATAGCGATGGAGCCTTAGGCAATGGAAGTGGTATCCCATATCTTTACCTTACTCCGTTAGATTTCACGGCTCAGGATCTAGCAGTGAGTAATCGGACGATTCCTTTGTTTCGATCAAACATCAACACTTTTTATTTCTAGTTACCATCGTTTGATAAGATAGCGAATACCATCGTACTGCTAATTATTTTGTTATTACTCATCGGCACGGTCGCTGCGACATGCATAATTTCATGTGTATACGTAGTTCCGTATCAAAAATTTTTAAACTTAAACATGTTTTAAATTATTAATTCTAAAATTTACAAATCTTATAGCGTCGAAAATAATGCTGATTTTTTGTTCTGGGTAAACACTTTCAGGTTCAAAACGTTCCAAGTTTCATACGTTCTGAATTTGAAACGTTCCCAATTTGGAACGTTTCAAGTTTGAAGCGTTCCAAGTTTGAAACATTCCAGATTTTTAATTTTTTTAATGTTCAAATATTCCGAACTTGAAACATATACATAATTTTTGTTATATCTATTGAATTAATTTAGTGACCATTTTTTAATTGCAGAAAGACAATCGAGCTTCTTTGTTAATGTCATTAGCTCAAGGAGAATACTGTAGAAACAAAGATTGGGATCCTATGGATCCTCGTTGCGCCAGAGTTATTATGAGCGGTAAAATCAAACCGGTTAGTGAATTTATTTATATTAAAATCAAAGTGACCATTTAGTTTAAGCGACTAAATGCAAAGTCATTTTCGAATTTATTTATTTTTGCATTGAAGATAAGGGGTCATTCTAATAAATAATATTAATAATTACATTAGTAACTCGTTTCCTTTTTCTAATAGTTGAAAAACGAAAGTGCAGAACACGCGCTAGCCAAGAAAGTTTTCTTTGAACGCCATCCAAAACTAGAGCATATGCCAGCGGGTAAGAATTTATTTATTAAATAATGTTTATTACTAAATGCATTATAGTCCTTGTTGACTTACAAAAATTATGTATTATATTACAGACCACCATTTCTATTTTGCCAAGTTGAAAATAATGTCTATCGCTGTTTTGGATACTTTCGGCGGACCTAAATATGTTACTGTAAATGATTATCTGCATCCAATTGCTAACGTTACCGAAGAATTCAACCGACATTTCCCTATGGAAGCATATGAACACTCTCAAAATAAATATAGTCCAGTTGCTAACATGTTACATCCTGTAGTTCGCCTTGTATAAATTAGCGTAAAAATTAATACAATTACTTATATGTATATCTACATCTAAACTTTTTATAGTACCTAAATTTTCTACAATTAATTAAGTGATAAATAAAATAAGTTTAATACATTCAAAGATGAATTGTAGTTAAATTAACCGGTTCTGAATGAGTGTAATTTTCAATAGTTAGTAGCATAAATATTTTCAAGAAGAAAGAAAGGTAAGTTTTTCTATCAGTATTAATTATATTGTACTTTCAAATGTACCTGTTAAAAAAATAATTTTCTGGTGTAATCCAATATGATTCATTATATTTTATTTCACTATAAAAATATACAGCTTTTCCGTTTAAACCCATGGCAATTTCTGTAATAAATATTTATTTAAATCAATAATAAATCTGTAATAAAATGATGTACAGGTTTTATTATACTAATATAATATTCTAAATATTTACATATTATTAATACAATAATTGCACTTTGTTGTAGTACATTACAAAGAATTTGACTATGATATATTACTTTTTAAATGAAGAATGACGATTTCGTGTAAGTTTATAGTTTCATTCGGATGCTTCTATGTACATTCTACATAATTTATTCGAATATATAAAACAACTTTTATATATTAAAATTTATTTAAATGAAAACAAATATTTAACAAAAATGAATAATTTCGTTATAATTTAAAGATAATATTGACAGACAGTATCTAAGTATAAAAAGTTTCTTTTGGTTATGTTTTTTTCGTAGTAGTCTGTGTACTTTTCCCGTGTACAAGACTAGATGAACTCAACATAACGGAAATTTGTTCTGGTAATGGGCAAGCAATTAATTGAAGTTCCTCTGAACTATAATATTTACTTAGTAGTTGATATATTTGTGTAAATGCAGCACACACATTATTTTTGACTGGTCTAAATAGAATAAACTCAGTTTCTTTATTAGAAAGATATAACTGCATTAGCTGTTGGATTTCGGGACATTTAAACTTAATTATCCGTAATACTTCACTGATTACTGCAGCAACATCTTGTGCACTCCCAAGAGCATGCTCCTGAGATGTGTCTGTGTTACCAGTGTTAACATGTGCTTTTTCTTTTTCTAGCAACTTTAAAATTGGATGTATCAGTAAATATGTTGCATGCTGTATAAGACAGTGACAAGCATATTTTAGTTTATTATCTACATGTTTCCTTGAATCTATTAATTGTTCCTTCATTTGTGGTGCACCCTCTAATAAAAATTCCAATAATGCATTATTTGACAAAGTGAAAAATCTTGAACTTTTTTCTAATAAACCAAATGCAGCTGTCTTAACTTTAGAAAAGTCCAAACTATATTCCTTTATAGTAAAATCTACTTGAAATGGTGCAATCTGTTCTCTTAGTATCAACAAATGCTTTATTTGAAAGAGTTCTGCATCCAAAGATGATGCTCTATTTTCAATTTCTTGTCTTGCATTTTCAATGCTTTGTACGCAATAAGATATTGCTTCCTGGCTCAGAGATTGAAAAACAGATCTGTCTACACAACGATATAATCTTGATAAACAAACTAATGTTCTTCGTACAGTAGGATACCACATTCCATGTAGGTCTGCAGGTGAATTACCCATATGTGTTTTCTGATAAATAGAATCTATTTCAATGTGATTTCTGGAAACAGATTCTGTACTACTATCTCCATTAAATGGTACAGATATCCTTTTCATTTTTGTTTGTCTAGTCTCTTCTCTTAGAGATTCTGCTATATCTTCCATCATTTTTAATTTATCTGGATATGCCAAATCACCTGGTGATGGATTGTAATTTAATACATCAGACTGTAGATATAGATGTGCACGAAATACAAGTCTTTCTTGTACATCATGCAATAGTTGTAGACAAATATTTCCAAATCCTTCTAAGGGTTCAAAATTATTTTGCACATGTTCATCCAGCATTTCAATTCTTAAGATGCAACAAATTTCTGCTAATGTTTCTAAGTGATTAATATGAATGATAAATGGCCTTAATGTATCGTATAAAGAAGTACATAAGCTTTCCAAATATGTAGTTAATCCATTGGATGGCTTCGAAAAGAATTCATAAAATAATTTATATTCATCCATTGATGCATGTAGCAATAATGCACATGAATTTCTAACTAAACTACAGTGATCACCATTATACTTCTCCTTTACTGACATTAGAGACTTTTGTACACTGCTGCCTAGCACTAATCCTCTTTGACTCCAATAATATTGATGGCACTCAGATAATAGACTGTCATACTCTTGTCGTTTGTATGATCTTGATTCAATCTGTTCTATGACTGATTTTACTTTTGATAAAATAGTTTGAAATCTTCCATAAAAAAGAGCCAATGCTGCATCTGCATTATCTTGGGAACTGTCACTGTCTTTTAAATTTAAAATACTCTCTGTAGTTTTGCTAAATAAGTTAAAAATATAATTTTGCATCATAGATATTGCCTTAGATTGGCAATGTTTATATTTAATTAAATAGGTATTACTTTCTTTAAACGAAGGGTTATTCTGCAAGAAATCTATATTTCTATCAATTTTATCTAATATATTAAAGAACATTTCACTATTTACACACAATGTAGGTGCTTCTAATTTTTCCATCATCATGTCCACATCTTTAAAATACTTTACATATTCTGTGATGTTCTCTATAATAGAATTTAATCTTCTTTGATCAGAATCCAGCTGTTCACTAGCATCGTAAAGAGATGTAGTTTTATCTGAAACCTCAGAGTATTGTTTATACAGCATTGTAAAATCTTCTAATGCTTCTTCTATTTGAAGACAAAGTTCATGACATTCAGATCTTCTAGCTTCAAGTTCATTAAGATATAATATATACTTCATATCCTTCCTGTCCATACATTTCTTTTCTAAAGTGGCATAATATTCTAATAGATCTTGATATCGTTCTATATGCACTGGTTTTTCATTTTCTTCAGTCCTGGATGCAGTGTCATCAAGTGTTTTATCCTCAAACGTATTATCAGAGAACAATTCTTCTTCTAAATTTAATAAACATTCTCTTTGAAGATCTGTTAACGGCGCCACGGAATCTTCTGACAGATCCCACTTGGTTAACTTATTCGGAATGTTTTTTACGTTGGACATAGTTTCCTGTCAACAGAAATAAATATTATAAATTAGACATTTTTACAAACAGTAAGTAAATGACCCACTTCAAAAAACTGACCAAAACTGACATCGTAGCAAATACAAATCATACTCATGAAGTTGAAACAAATTGGTAATCATGACACAGTGTGGCCAGTAAAAAAAGTTCAATTATATATTTACATAATAAATAGTTTTTAATGTGTTATATTGCTTTATTATAATTTTCTAGCAATGTTTAATTGTTAAAATAAAGTAACAATTAAACTTATTTAACTCTTGTTAAATAAATAGGGAATTGATCATTTACACAAAATATATTTTGCAAATTTAATAATTTATTCTATAGAAAGAATATAAACTAAATCTATTTTATAATAAGCATAGCTATTATTTCTTTTATTAATAAAAGTGTTATGTAAAATTTCATTCCTATCGCGTGCTATGAAAACCGGATTAGTTACTTCTGCGGAGCATGCGTGTAAAACACAAACGGAAATTTCCATTGAAAACAAGACCTTAGTTCCTTCTATCTTAGTTTTTGAACCATAGAGGTTAGTGTCAAATTGAATCATAAAATATCTTGGTAATCTTATTGAAATAAAAATATTTTCATGGTAGTTCATATTGTTATAAATCATTACAATCTATAATATGTTATATCATTGTGGAATAAGTATTGTTTCATGATATTACATATAGCGACCTAACCTAACAAAATAAATGTATCATTCTTTTCAGAATGGCTCCGAGGTACGAATTAGCAGTTGGCCTCAACAGAGGCCACAAAACGACGAAAATTCGTGTTGCCAAAAATAAAAATGAAAAGAAAAAGACCGTGTGCGTTTTGCCAGCCAGATTTAAAGGGGTTAGTAGATATTAAACAAACTAATATGCCAATATTTATATTATTATGTGACTATCAATGTGTCAGTTGTTTGGTTATGAATCAATACTGCTTATATTTAATTATGATCGTTTGTATTATGATGCATTTATGTATAATCAGTAGTAAAATTTGATCATCTTTTTATTATAGAGACAAACCAAACACAGCAAATTCATTAGAGATCTAATTCGTGAAGTAACTGGACATGCACCATATGAGAAGCGTGCTATGGAATTGTTGAAAGTGTCCAAGGATAAGCGTGCATTAAAATTCTTGAAGAGACGAGTAAGCATATAAAAGGATATTTAGTTTATCACTGATTTTCATTTAATAATATATTTAACAATTTTATAGTTGGGCACACATATTAGAGCCAAAAGGAAACGTGAAGAACTAGGAAACATCCTTGTACAAATGAGGAAAGCAGCTGCTCATCATTAAATAACTCATTAAGTTTTGTATTATACATTAATAAAATAAATGTATAAAACACATTACAAAGTTTATCATGATATAATGTCCTAAAGTTCTGTAGATGCCAAAGTACATGGATCTGATATTAAAGTAGACGTTTTGGGATAATAAAAGTATATTCAAGTATAATATAACTCTCTTACAATGATAGTACAGTAAACCCCTTATTAAGGGACACTTTTTAAGGGATACATAGATGCTAATTACGCCGTCATTGTGGGTGCATCGACTACTTTATCTTTCATTACTTTTTTTGTAAAACTTTTGCGGTTTAGGACTGCACAGGGGGTCAAGGTTAACTGATTAATTTCCCTTGCATAGCACCGGGCGTTCCATTAGTATTTTTGAAGTAAATGTGTATTGGGACATACGTTTTTTCTATTAGTTCACCTGTTTTGCCGCTAGATGGCACTGCACTTTTGTTCTATAAAATGATCTTTTTTCATTTTCATTTCTAGTTCTTTCAGCACACTTTTACGATATTATTTCGCTTTCCATGCGGTCACATAACAGCATACAAGCTTCAGAAATACTTAAAGTTCGCTAATTCGTGGATTATGTATTCAGAACAGTTCACACATTATTGTATCTCGTCGATGATATAGGGAATGACATAAAAATGGCAAAAAATTTTCTTTTGAGTCACCAGAAACTATTCTTACAGACATCTTCTTTTGTAAAAAAGAGCTTACTTACAAAATTTGGTTGATATCCGAATTTGGTTTAAAATCTAGTTGATAAATAGTTTTTCGGGGTGCTATCGATAACTTACCCGTTCCAAGATTTTTTCATTCATCAATTAAAATTTAAAAACCGATTAAAATACTTACCTTCCTTTAGTTTTTAAACTTTTATTAAGTATAAGTCAACAAATATCCGTACAATCAAGTTCAAATTCCTTTTCCCTTAGGAAAATAGCAGTCCCTAACACACAATGACATCCGCGCGTTGCCATGTAATATGCGTAATCTACATATGGTATTTTGACATATAACTTTCGCAAGTATGTGCTTACTCTTAAGTAAACTATGTTAGTGTGCATTTTATGTTTGAAAATGGTAATTCGAGCGACTATATTAGAACGTAAATAGTCGCTTTTCATAACTGAATTATACATTCAAGGTTGCTTTCATAATAGGAAAGTCAATAAATACAAAGTTTGTATGCAAAATTTAGTTCCATTAATTTTCACCTCCAGCGCTAGATGTCTAAGCATTTTGTGGTTCACAAAATGTAATTTCCTAATTGTTAGAATGTAAAGCTTCGAATACATTATAAGATCGTTTTTCTGACTTTATGATGCTCGTAGAATATTCTACAGGTAAAATTAAAGTAAAACTGCTTTATTTCATGGAAAAACGGAACTTTTTATTTTGTTAATGTCGTGTCTAACTACTAGATAGTGCTGTTGGTATTGTTCTCAAATAGCGCATGCGAAAATATGAATTTTAAAATGTATGTGATATCGATGCTTAAAAAATGCTTTCAACTTTTAAATTAATTACGTTATAATAAAGCATTGTTTATTCTATTTCTGTGCTCCTCTTATAAATGTAAACATGAATGTAACATTTAGTTACAATAAAATGTTAACTCATTATTTGATGTAGTTTCTAAAATTACTTTTCTGAAACGTGAAGTGTATAATAAAATACTGTATTTTTAAATATCATGCACATATGTTATTTATATTATTACTTGTATGAACACAATGCGTATCACATCCTACTATATCAGCTGGAACAGATATGACACTTTAATCTTGCTTGCATCGGTGTCGATCGGTATAATAGGGCGTGAATAAGGTGATAAAGAGGATCTAAAGTCTTCCAATTATGATAAGAGTTAATGTACGAATGACTAAGGGAATATGTACGATTAACGTACTGTATATATATTTAGTGTTGATAGAATCCTCAATGTTCTTATATAAGCTGCAAGAGCATGTATTTTAAAGTCAAACGAATGAAGCCTATTCTCCAGTCATTCTTCACTGTTTCTCAGAGACACTTCAGTAAAATGGTGAAGGCAAAGAGATATATACTAACAAAACATTTTGAAGGTGAACCAAAACCAACTGATTTACAATTAGTTGAAGAAGAATTACCACCTGTTCGGAATGGAGGTATTTACATACTAATATAAAAATATCTATATTTACTTCTAATCGTCGATCACGCCACTATCATAATTATCATGATATCCGTCACGTTTGAAATTAGAAATGTGTGTTCTACAGATTTAATAAATGAAAGTACATTTTCGCTATTGTTGACAACATAAATATTGTTATAGCATGCATTCGTATCATCAATAATACATATTTTCATAAAATAATTATTTTGTGTCATTTATTTCTCAAATGCATTATAATTACTATAGAGTACATAATTTCAATAATACATGCTTTGTATATTAAACTTTTTCAGAATTTCTTGTTGAAGCAGAGTTCCTTTCTGTGGATCCTTATATGCGTCCTTATGTCCTGCGATATCCTGTGGGTATAACAATGATTGGCTCACAGGTGGCCAAAATTATTGAATCAAAAAATTCAGATTTTCCAGTTGGAAGAAAAATATTAGGTTATTTCGGATGGAGAACACATACAATTGTAACTCAACAGATGTTAAATGAAAGTGACAGTGTACTTACAAAACCGGCTCTTCTACCTAAGATAGATTTGTCATCATCGCTGTTTTTAGGAGTTTTAGGAATGCCAGGGTAATGCTTACTTAAAATATTTATTTTATGATTTTATATAAATCAAGAAGAAATACAATTCTGCTAATACCACAAATTACAATGATACATATTATATGACACTATATTTTACTTTGTGGTTTTGTTCATTTTGAATCCCATGTTCTAGATCTACAGCATACTTTGGACTATTTGAAATTTGTACACCAAAACAAGGGGAAACTCTTGTTGTTAGTGGTGCAGCAGGAGCTGTTGGTTCTCATGTTGGTCAGCTGGGAAAGCATGTTGTTGGAATGACTGTTATTGGAATTGCTGGTTCGGATGAAAAATGCAAATGGCTCGTTGAGGAGCTTGGTTTTGATCATTGTATTAATTATAAAACTGAAAACGTTGCTGCTGCTTTGAGAAAAGCTGCACCAAAAGGAGTTGATTGCTATTTTGATAATGTATGAAACATTGATAGTTTAGGATAATGAATAAGTTTTTCTACAGTATTCTATATTTAGGGCAAAAAAGTATTTATATCATATATATTACAATTGCAGGTTGGAGGGGACATCTCCAGTACAGTAATATATCAGATGAAGGAATTTGGTCGTGTAGCTGTGTGTGGAAGTATTTCCTCGTATAACGCGGATGCCTCGTCTTTACCAAAAACAACCATCCTGCAACCTGTAATGGTCTTCAATCAATTAAAAATGGAAGGTTTCCTTGTTCATCGTTGGGCTGGTCGTTCTGCCGAGTCAATACAGAAGAATCTTCAGTGGATACGTGAAGGAAAACTTCAGTATCGTGAATCCGTCACAAAAGGTTTTGAAAATATGTTTGATGCATTTGTTGGCATGTTGAGTGGAAATAATGTCGGTAAAGCTGTTGTTCAAGTTTGATAACAAATACTTACATTTATTATACCTGTAAACTTTAAATACAAATTCTTTATTTTAGTATTTGGGGCTATTTTCATATAAACAGAAAATATTTTATCCCGTTTCAGTGAATTCTTTACTTAAGAACGATCCTACGTATCTGTTGCACATATAAAATAATTTGCCTTGTCATTTATCATTAGTTATTCATGGAAATAATTTCAAAATATTGTAGTTTGAGAATTCCTAAATTTTGATCTACTCTTTACTGGTATTGACACTATACATATTGTATATAGAAACCCTCTGTATCTGGCAGTCAGTTTAATTTACAAACGTATAAAAATCATAAAATACACCAGATAACAGAAAATAAAAAGTGATAGGCAGTTAGACAGTTTTATTGCAATATATTACACAGATTATAATGCATCACAATGAGTAATTACATGTGGTTTTTCGATGCTCGTAGGCATTATTTTTGGATCTTAGGTACACATTTTAGGAATTTTAACATTACGTCTAGTACAACCTTATAGTATACCTTACAGATACTTTGCGCGAAACTTACATCAATTTCTAATTACAATATTATACATTCGTCGGCTCAGTTGAAACTCCGTTTCGTCATAAAACCAAATTTCGCGATAAAATAAAAATTTGCATATTAAAGAAGATTAAAGAGGAAACAGTTTTTAGTATAAATATTCGAAGAAAGCTCTTTGGAATTTTATTTATAAGTTATAAAGTAGATGTATAGTGTAACATCAATTTTGATAATATAATCGAAAGAAATTCATTTGTGGTTATCAGAGAACCATAGTAGATATCTGAAAGTAAACGAGGTAATAAAATTATTTAACATTTAAGGCAAACTTTCTCTTGATCCATTTTTGGAGTTATTTATATCAAGACCGAAGTAAACTTGTCAAAGTTGTTTTTTTCATAAATTTAATTTACGTATTCTATGAGATCCGTTTTTTTTTTCGAATCGATCGTAGTACGATGAAACATATATGTACAAGGACAGTCGCAAATGCTCGACATGCCGATTTTTGTGATATCTCGTTTGTTGACGCAATATTATAATCAGTTGTTTACGCTGCTCATTTTCATTTGATACAAACGCGCAGCCTTCTAAAAATTACTTTGATCCGTTAAGAATACGGCACAGGAATAAACCTGACTTCGTCACAATATGGAATGACTATATTTTGTATTAAAAATTTAGAAATTACGAAGGTTACAAATTTTCAAGTTCTTAGATTTTTTAATTTACTAATTCTCTAATTTTTAAAACTCCAAATTTTCAAGTTTCTAAATTTTCAAATTCCCAAATTTTTAAATTTCTAAATTCACAAATTTTTAGATTTCTGAATTTCCAAACACTCAAATTTCCAAATAATTTTTAGTTAAAAAATTTCCAAATTTTCAAATTTCTAAACTTCTAAATCCCCAAATTTCCAATTTCCCAAATTCCTTATTGGTAACAAAATAATTGAATTGCGTATATGCTTTCTGCAACGATTCTTTTTACAATTTCAACTATTTTTCCAATTTATGCCCTGATTTTTATCGTGTTCCGTATTTCTAACGACTTGTTCTTCGTTGGCTGGCACGAATCGGAAAAAGGTGCGTCAAGCCGCGAAGAATGAAATTACATTTACACGAAGGTGAGTTCCACTGTTTAAAAAACGAAACTATTAATACATTCGCTAAATACAAAGATCTTGTCACGGTCGAAAGACCAGAAATCATTGACAGCTTCAGTTTTCAGGATACACTTAGAAGACTCCGTTGATTTTTTTCGTTTTTAATTGCCTTTGGCTAATTACCAATCTGTAATCAACATGTTGGTTTAATTGTACTATTGACAAGTACGAACTATAATTCCTGGTTATCGAAGTAGAACTATTTGATATTTTCAAAATTTTGTTCATTTTAATAAAATTGGGAGCCATGTTAATCGATGTTTATTAAACTTTTAGTGTAGTTAGAGAAAGTACATAATTTAAACTTGTGACACGAATTGAAGATAAATAATTTCAGTTAATAATTGAATTATAATAATTTCTGTTAATGATTGATTTATAATAATTTCAGTTAATGATTGAATTATAATAATTTCAGTTAATGATTGAATTATATTAATTTCAGTTAATAACTGAATTATAATAATTTCAATCAATAACTGAACTAATAATTGAAATTATTCAATGACTTTGTTAATTTTGCATAAAAGGTCAAAAAACAATTAAACGATAATTTAGCATTTATTCAAAATATACTGTAACAGTAATTTGCTAAAAGTCAACGCTCTTATTATTTGAAAAATCGTATGATCGATAAGTTCATAAACATGTTTATATCTAATAATAGTTTCTAATAAAATTGACCTTGCTGTAGATAAATGTTACATAACTCGTAACTTCGCGATATTATAACCTCCTTGCGTGTTATTTTACTTATGAATTACAGATGACGATTAAGAGTAATTATCGAGAAGTGAACATATTCATAAGCAGTGAAGTTAAAATGCAGACGTAGGTAACAATAAATTAATAGTGACGTTTATGCGATAAAACCAAGTATAATTTGTCACTAATGATATATGTTGAGAAAATTGAACCTAAACGCGTAGTTCTACTTCGATAATCAGGAACTGAAGTTAATGGAATTTTCTGCAGACTTCAATCATGACGCTAAAATCTCGCTTTGTATAATTTCATATTCGTTCTATTGCATGGTTTACGTCACAGCAATTTTTTTTATCTTAAATTTCTTGCGCAATAATTTTTAAATAATTTTTTGAGCAATTAAAAGACTACTTCTCCATTAAAGTCTGAATAATGATTCGACAATATAAAGGTAAATTTACGATTTCTATTTTCTCGGTTTCAGACTATACTTAGAGATATTAAATTCCAATCTAAGAAAACTTAAGCTAATCTACATCATTGGAAGGTTAATTCACTTTTCATCGTTACTTGCATTCTATTTTATCAAACAGAGGAATCAACAGTAGATTATATCATGAATTATTAAAAACTCGATAAACTTCAATGCCAAGCTTCTCTTATCTCGATAATTACGCAAATAATTGTTCTCATAATCTTCAGCAGTGAATCCTGAATCAGCAGCGAATGATTACAGTTCCATCGAACAGATTAATAGCAGATCTCTTTACACATTTTTGATCAGGAGTTTGTTGGATAACACAGCTTTTCACATTTTCACGTTGGCCAAACGGGGCATTCTGCGCACCATTCTTAGAGCATTGTTCTTAGCGATTTTCAAATTTTCAGAAAATTAAATTAATTAATGTTGATGTTAAGAATTTGCGCTGGGACTTGTTACATGTCAGGTAAAAACAATCGAGGTACATTTGGCGTAATTTGCACATTTTTAAGTTTGTACATTTTTTAATTTTTAAATTTGCAAGTTTTTAGATTTTTAAGGTTGTTTTATGTTTTTGAATTTCCAAATTCCTAAATTCTCAAATTCCCCAGTTATCAAGTTTTCAAGTATATAATTTCTCAAATTTATAAATTAGCAGATTCTTAATTTCCTAATTGTCCAATTTTCCAATGTACTAATTTTTCAATTTTCCAGTTTACTAATTTTCCAATTAATCAATTTTCCAATTTCCCAATCTCCCAATTTCCCAATTTCCCAACCTCCCAATTTCCCAATTTCACAATTTCCCAATTACCCAATTTCCCAGTTTCCCAATTTCTCAAGTTTTCAATTTTCCCAAAACCCAAATTTTCAAAGTTTCTAAATTCCAAATCTCAAAATCCCTAAATTCCCAAATTCTCAAAATCCCCGAATTCCAAATCTCTAAATTTCGAACTGCCAAAGTTCCCAAAATCCCCAAATTCCAAATTTCTGTATCTCTAAATTTTGAAATTCCTCAAATTCCCAAATCCCAAACTCAAAATCCCTAAATCCTTAAATCTCTGAATCCCGAAATTCCAAAGTCCCCAAGTCCCCAAATCCACAAATCCTCAAATCACCAAATCTAGCAACACTAACATTCTCCATTTCAAAAAGATCTAATCACACCAATCATAAAAACTATGCTGACTTTATTTAGATTTCGATGAAAAAGCGGTTTGATCGATCAAAAATAGCGCCGAATAGCATAAAAAATCTGTAACACCGATATTTTCAATTTTCAGTAATATCGTCTTAAAGCCCCGGGGCCCTCTGTCGGTGTCTCTGCACCCGATTCTTCGTTCGCTAAGTGTTCTCCATGAATCCTGAGTCGTGAGTCCATCGAGCAAACATGTCCCTGTCAGGACCTCGGCTAGAATTTCATCACGTGACGTTGATTTCCTCATCCTCTTCGTTCTCCGTTTGCTCTTCCGGTCGTTGAGGACTCGTCAATGGACTCACATCACTCAAATCCATCCTTGGTCTGTCTCCATCAGCGTCGCTTAAGTCAGGATTTGGATTGTTCTTGTTTGGCAACGTTTGCTCTCGTGAACCCCCTGTTGCCAGCAATTCTCTCTCCTTGCTGTTCCGCCATTTCATCCGTCGATTTTGGAACCATATTTTCACCTGCAAACAAGCGAAAATTGCTCGTGACGGATACAATTTTTATCGAGTTCGGTTTAATACTAAATTTATGGAACTCGTCAAAGTGACGGATCTTAGATTTATTTTAACCCTTTGCACTCCTATGTCGAATGTGGCTCGACATTTCTCTTGGATCTCATAAATAACTCAGATAAATAGATTGGTTGAATATGTATATTATCATTTATATACTACTTGTAATAAAAGAAAAATGTATTTATTTTATGCAGTTTATTGGGAACCCCTTTTTTGATCTATTTAGTAAATTAAGGAATCGGTAGGTAAAAGAAAGTGAGGAGTGCAAAGGGTTAAATTACAGTTATTATTGAGAAGCTTTTGTTAAAATGTCATCTGTCGTCGAGATGATGAATTGCAAACATACTTTACGTATCTTTATTTATTTTTTTAAAAGTAACTCTATATATTTTAATTTATGTTTCATTATTCATTCATTTTCACTACAATGTCAAGTTGAGTACATTTCAAAAATAATTGTTCTCATTTTTGAACTTTGAAAATAAGTTCCAGTGTTAAATATACATTGATCAAAATGTTAAAAACGATTATATTTATTTAAGAATTCGTGTTAGTATTAAAATGTTTACGAGGTATAATTCAATACTTAAATATGTAGTAACATAATGGGGACGAATTCGACTGAATGGTATCGAACAAATGGATTCTCCGCACGTTCACCCTCGTCTATTAACGAGCATTAAATAAAGATTACATTGGGAAAGCAGTCGCCCCCTTTCTGCACACAGTTCTTGGCGTATCAGCGATTTCAATTCTATCTTTCCCTAGGGTCTTTTCACATCGTTCAGATTAGACATGTATCTTGTTTCTCGATTTACACGTAAGATCATGTTTCCTTAAAAATTCGCAGAATGTTAACCAGAACTATTATACAAAATATATGTATTATATTATACAAAACATATATGTATCAGTTATTGTATAATTATTTATAATTACTAATATTGTATAAAATAATGTAGGTAAGTATTCATTTCAATAATAATGTATTTAAGTTCAATAATAAAAGAATAAGATCTTCATAATTATATTAGAGTTTGCCATAATGATTGTGGTACTATTTTTGTTTATACTGTATAAATTATACAAAATCACCTTCATGGCACAATTTATGTTTATTAGTTTAGAATAGTTTCGCGACAGGGAGTTAAAGAAAGGGTGCGTCATTTTCCTCCGCGAAATAGAGTGTATTACCGAGCTGTAGAACGGGTCAACGTCAAACGCATATGAACTCTGAAAATTTTCCGCCCTCCGTCGCTTTTCCACCCCATTTTCGTCTCCCTTTCGCGGCAGCCTGTTTCTCCGGCCTCACCACTTTATATCGCGGGTAGCCTTAAGCCACGTCGAAGCCCCCGTCGTTGACCCCGCCATGGATTGATTTACCTAAACTGCTTTCCGAATTTTCATTGGTCGCCGGTGTGTGTGCATTTGACACCCTGGCTGGACTCGAAGGTTCCCTCCTAGCTCGCCTTCGACACCTCGATAAGGCGTTGAACCTTGTATAATCGATCGAAATAATGTATACAATTATAGGGAAGATCCGTTCTCGCGATCTCATTGTGCGATTGTATTCGTAATATTGTCGCTGATTTTAGGACGGTGAAAATTAACTTGGCAAATATTTTTATTATTGGCAAGTAGCATCTTGAAAACTTTTTAACTGAGGAGTTTAATCAATCTTATTGGAAATTATTTTTCATTGATTGCTTCTGTTGCATATTTCACTATACTTAAATGTTACATGTACAACACTACAGGTTGAGTTAAAAAATATTTATTCATATTGTTATATTAGACTAAACAGCGAATGTGACTTGTCATTCGAGTGCAAAGGATCGAGGTCTATGAAACATTAAATAAAAATTTGAAACACTTGATCCAAAAATATTTTCTAATAAAATACTTTTTTTCTGATAAATTATTTTTCTACGTAGAACGTTCCATAGAATCGATCTATACAACATTGACTATTTCTATTTGTGATTGCTATTTTTTTAGGTTCTCGAAATTCTCTCAATACATTTTTATTATCAATCTAACTGGTCGATGAGTTCGTCTACTTTCGTTTCAATTAAACAATTTGTAACTGGTTCGTTATGCGTTTCGATTGGTTCTGTATGAAAATTCGGAGTGCGTGTAATAGATTTTTCTCGTTTTTATTTCTGCTATGGAAAATGAAGCAAATAACATCGTTCCGTCATTCAGGAGGCGTAAGTCCGTTGAAATTCGATGCTTCCGGCTTACGAAAGAGATTAGGGGATGATATCGAACTCAAGATGTTGCTCGTTTCGGGGGTGAACACTCCATCCGAGGATGCTCGAAAATCAAAAGCAGAGGGGATCTTTTGCCACGCGAATATGTGCAGGAAAAAAGACGTATTCTGCAAATATCTCTGATGACGATTTTCTATAATATTTTATTACGATTTTTATTATTTTTTATTGAACACTGAGTTGCAACAGGAGTCGCTAAATTGATATTTAATATTAATCGATATTTGATATTCAATATTAATTAATGTCTGATATTAATAAGGAAATTAGTTGACACAATATTCAATATTTATTAAAAGCATAGAAGATTGGAAAATGTTAACGAGGGATTAAAATTCTGATACAGAAAACGAAAATAATAAATGGAGGTCATGTGAAATCTTCGATATAATAAATGTTATAAAATGTATATAAAAATAATGAAAGACAAAGTTACTATTAAAAATATACAAGAACATTGTTAACCCTCTGGACAATAATTTAGGACCTCTAGAATATTTAACAAGTTAACACGAATGTGAATATATTACACTCTAATATGTGTATACAAAAAAGAACTAAATTAAACCTTGATAATTGAACAAGTTTTATTTTATTTATTCCTTTCATTACTTTTAAAAATAGTTAACTATATTGAGTTAACTCGTTTAATATATTTTCTGAATTTGTACGTACATATACATATTTCATTGTAATATTGTTAAATTCTTAAATGTTAACATATAGCTGTATCAGTAATACATGTATAATTTATTGATATATGTATCAGTATTTTTCTAAAGGTAATGTTATACCTTCAATATTATTCTTAATTGTCCAGAACCAAATCATTTAATACTTTCGAGTCATCTTCAAAAAGCGAAATATTTATTCGTTAATTAATATCCGTGGCGATATTATCCGGAAATTACAGTACGATGCGTTTCAGGGAAATGAAGGGATTCCTAGTTCCGATCGACCCTGCTTCCGATCCTTCTTGTTCTTTTCGTTTTACGTTTTGCGAGTGGCGACGGTGATTGATTGTCCCGTCAGCGGCAGACAGGTCCGGGAACTATATAACAAAAGTAACAAAGCAGCTTTGTTCAGCGAGAAAGACGCGAAACGTTTCCGGAGAAGTTGAATCGTTCGTTTGTTCACAGATTTCATTCGTTCTTTTCGTGCATTGCTCTCTTAACATTCGATCACTTTTATAAATCGCACGAAATAACGTCAAATAACGTACAAACACCTTTATCTTCTTTAAGCTATTATTAATATTTTTACGAAAATCTTAGAGAAACATTTCCTTCTGCCTGGACTGGTATATTAATTACTATTTTATATAATAGGAATTTCTCTTATTTATTACAGTAAATAGCATTTCATTTATTTATTAGCGATAAAAGTTTAGATGAAATGCATTGTCTGTGTCATTCAGTTGGTACAACGTTTAATTACCATTTTCAATAAAAAGAAATTGGTTGCTAACAGCTACGTGGTAGTAAATGTTAATTTACTGAATCAGAAACTTACAACGTAAAATATCTTAACCGATAAAGTTGATTCTCCCCCGCTCGTTAAATAATTCGATCAACCAAAGCGTACACGTTTCATTGAATACCTTTTCATCCCTTCTCAATCTCCCTCTGTAGCTCACGTAAAACGATTAACTTATTGGCCACACTTCCACGCGTTTCTTTCATCCCGCAAATCCTTAATGACCCCCGGTTGACGCTTAAACTTGTCGATAGCAAGAGCGCGAGGGTGTCGAGATCGCCATAAAGTTTCACTCTGGATCGGTTGCTTCTAAATCATTCCGGTGGTCGAAGTTCAGGAATCCGTAAGAATAATAATTCACCGCGAGGGTGAGAGACTTTTCTATTAAAAAGAAAACGGAAACGTTTAAGCGGGGTTCGCCGGTTGCCCTCTAAGGATCGCCATACGAAAGGATCGGGCATAACGACGACATCCGAAACGCGTTATATAGAGTGGGTAATCGTTAAACGATTGGCTGCAGCCACCCTGCCGGATTCTCCTTCGCTAAACCACCCCCTAACCCTCTCGTTCCCCCTCGGGTACGATGGCAAGCAGCCACCCGGCCGAAAGTTCTCCTCCGTTTAACTCCCTTCCTCGTGCCCACGCGACCGCCCTTACTTCCGCCTCTGCCCACCCCCGATTCTCCCCCACCTCCACGGGCACAGCCACCCCTTCTGGCACCCTCTTTATCTCTCTGCGTCTCTGTTGCTCCTCCACCCTCTCACGGGGCTACGAATACGTGGTGCGGTGCTGGCGCCATCTGGTGCAGTTTAATAAAAGACGATCGATTATGACGTCGGCCTCAGAACTACCCCTCAGTCTCAACCCCTCTATCTCGGTTCTCCGAAAGCGTGGAGTCTCTCTCTCTCTCTGTTTTCTATTTTCCTCGTTTGTCTTTCGCCATTCTCACTCCCTACCGCTCGATCGCCTTTCTCTTGCTTCGTGGTGCCTTCTCCTCTTTCTCTTTTCCTTTTTCCACCACTCTCGCGATACCACCCCTCGGTACCGTTACGAGGCTGCGGCAATCGAAGGGCACGGGGGCGG